TTAGAAACCTGTATTAGAAAATGAGATAGAAAAGGAGTAAAGGCCAATTCCCAGGGTCTGTGGAAGTTGACTCTGCAGCAACCATCTAGATTCCTACTCTGACCACATGAAGGAAAGCATTCCATAATTTCCTGTCTGAAAAACATTGTGCCGGGACATTTCTGCTTAACCCTATTTCTGCTGGTTACGAGTTCTCAAGGGGTGTAGTTACCCTTGAAATTCCTCAACACATTTGCCTGCAAGCTGGTGACCTTACCACATAAAAACAGGACTAAGAGCAGAAACATGGAGAGAGGTGTGGTGCAGGGTGGAGAAGGGATGCTGTTGGAATGAGCTCAGCTCACATAGAACTGCCCACCACAGCTTCAACCAAAAGTAGATGTGCATAGAGATGTGACAGCACAACAGCACCTACTTCAGCCCACCCCTCACATGATGCAGATCCACTTATGTTCACTTTAAGTCCACTTGGACAGCTTGAGGGAGAGTCCACTTGTAGTTTCTAGAAAACACAACATGGAGAAGTGGAACTAGCTGGATACCATTGTTGATCATGATCACATTTATCTACATGTGTCTTCTGCCACCCTTTCTAGAACTTCCTCATTCTTGGCCATTGCTTCAGCTGTACTCTAAGCTGCTTTCTGGTATACTTATCTGAACCTTCACTCTGGAGGCCTCAGAGACTTGATTGCAGAGAGACACTGAGTTACTTCTGTGAATTCTCTGCCTATAATATGGCAGTAACCTCAGCCTTCAGGATTACAGGGATGACCAATATTATAACTCCTTTCTCTGCTGCTGTGACACCACTGTGGAAATCCCAATGTGACTAAGTGGCAGACACTGTTAGATTTCATAGAAAATTTCCTGTATTCCCCTGTCTACCTAATCTTCAGGATTCAGGACCTCTAATACATCAGGTCCTAAAGGTGCAGAGACCTAAAGCATAAATTCTGCAAATGAGTTTATGGAAATGATGCTGCGAGAGGCTGGTATTGCTTGGTTCATGGACCTGAGTATTCCAACTTTGGGGAACTGTTCCTGTAGGTTTAATGGAGGTTTCTGCAAAATAAAGTGTCAGTAGATACTTTGGGCTTTGTAGGTGACAATGGTCTTTGTTTCAATGACTTTGCTCTCAAAGGGCAAAAACAGTCACAGCCAATATAAAAGCATCACTCCATGAGGACCTATATCCCAGTGCAGTGGTCCTCAAAGACATCAAGATAATCATTCAGTTTTTGCATGTCATAATTTTACCACCAAGTTTCTAGCTGACCCAGTCTCCTGTAAGGGCATTACCATACTGAAAGTTCTACATCAGCACCTGCTGCTGCCAGCTCAAGCAACAGAAGTGGCCCTCAGTAGATCTATCTTGGCACCAATCTCAGGCATTGTAGGATCCATTGACAACTTCCAGCCTTCATGTCCCCTTGATAATTCTCTTGTAAAGCCCATTGAACATACAGTTAGCAAAAGATGTTTCAAAAATCAGTATTATGCTTTTCAAATGTATGTAAATGCAATAGACTCTAATAAATTTGAGATCTAAGGTGCATGAGCATGACTTCAAAGACAGAGAAAGTAGTACATGTACTTCCTCTTTAACATCTTTCCAAATTACCCACTTTTTCTCTTTCTCCCTCCCTCCCCAACATATTGAGGAACCTTCCATAGCAGCAGTCTTCTTGCAGTCTTAAATGGTATCCCAAGGGAAATAACTGGAAAATAAATATCAACTGACATTTCATTTATTTCTGCATAACAGATTGGTTCCCTTCCATTATACATTAGTTCTGACATCCAAGGAAAAAAAGTAAATTACATATGTATACATACATGTTCTTAAGTAAATGTCTATAAACTAATATTTTATTTTTCAGCTTATGAAAAATTAACTCACATTTTGTTAATGTTCCTTCAATTAAAAGGTAACAAGATGATAATTCTGTTGTGTGTTTGTTGCCACAATAAAAAGTACATTAAAAGGCAATTATAGTGCAAAGAATAAATAAGATATGGTCCACTTTAATGGTTAATAATTTTAAAAGAAGATATTGATAATTTGGGCTGTTTTATAAACTGGCCAGTGTACATTGTATATAAACATGGATATGTATTCCTTTTTGTTTAATGAAATGTGTAATATAGAGAACTCTATCATATAGATAGAGGAAAAATTCTACCAAAAATAGAAAAAAATTAATTGACCTTGATATCTACATAATAACCTGGTAAAATAATGTTATAAGATGCATTAGTCAAATTTTATAAAAATAAATAATATTATTTAAAGAAAATATAAACATCAACAGCCATGTCCCTAGATTGACATTGCAGCAGTATGTCAAGGTATTCAGTGGTGACTAAATGATGTTCCAAAACACCACAGTAGCAGGGGTCTACATCTGGCAATTTCTTAGATCCCATCATTCCTATATTTCCTTCTGAAAAGGGGAGCCAGACACATTGTGAGTCCTGAATTGGATTCCAGAACAATAAAATAATATTTGTGAAAAAAATATGGTGTAATCTGAAGCAACTGTGCAGTTTGATCAACAAGGATGTTTCAAGGTTCATTTCTGATCTTTGACTGGTGAAGCTTGGAATATAAAAAGTGAACATTAAGGGAATCTGGGCAAAGGTCACATGGGGAAATTTTCACACTATCTTTGCAGCTTTTCTATAAATATAAAATTATTTAAATATTAAAAGCTTATTAAAAATGTAAGAGAGACTTAAGAATGTGCCTCTGCACAAAAAACAATCAAACAAACAAATAACCCACAAACCTGAGCAGCAGTGATGTTCTGATAACAAGAGAGGGGAACATACATGGATCATTTCAAAAGCCTCCCATGGAAAGAAGAGGATGCAGTGACTGGGAAGGTGCATGCAGAGTATTCTGTGCTGGTTACATTCTAATTCTTGACCTGGACTGGTGGCTACACATGTGCCTTATTTTGATACTAACTCAATGAACTGTACTTTTTGTTACATTTTCCTTCAATAAAAGATAAGTTTTAAAGATACATTCATAGTACTGGTAAATAGTTCTCTACTACAAGTAAAGAATTAAGGGAGAAAAAATGAAATAAATTCAGTGTACAAATGTTGGGGAGATCTTGTTTAGATCTCCAAGTTATTAAACCATAAGCATAAAATTTTCAGAGCTGAAAGAACATTGGAAAGGGTCACAATCAGCCCTGACAAGTTCTTCATGGAGGCACCTCTGCAGGTACTCCTGTAGTGGGAGGGGCAGGACCTGACATCTGTGTCTTAGCAAAGCTCTCAGGAGATTCTGATGCAGCCAGATTATATACCACTGATACATGTAAGGAGATGAAGTGAGTGTTTAGAGGCAGAATGTTCCAGAAATGGCACAAGAGCCTCATCCCCAGACCCTGGCCCTCAATTCCACCTGCAGCCCAAGGGTTCCAGTTAAGATCCCTAAACCTTTACAATTCCACTAGAGGATATCTGTAAGTTCAGCACCTTCCATTACCTTATCCAAGACGTGATTTTTTTTATCTTCATGAATTTTTTTTACTCTAGAAGAAGCACTGATTTTCCAGAATAATTCAAGTTTCATATTTCTAATACAACATTTACACATTTTATTTATTTAATGTCAGATCATATTTAATGGTAGATTCACAGACTATTTAAACTGGAGGGCTAATAACCTGTCTACTCATTTTGTACATGGGGAACTTAATGCCAGAGTAAATGGAAAGTTGTTATGAGTTTCTAGAGACAAGTTCTCTTTTTTCAGGTCAATAAATTAGCCTGAATTCTTCCTAATGTTTACATTCTGGTAAGATAAATCATTACAATATGAAATATCATTAGATTTTGGTTTTTGTTCTTTGATGCATAATTCAGTTTGTTGTTTTCTGATTTTCTGTTGAAAATAATTGTTCCTGATCAAAAGACAAAATAGATTAGATACTTAAAGTAAATTAGTGTGCTTTTTAAATGTGAAAATAATTTGCAGTAAATGAAAGTGAAATCTAAGAATTTCTTTCAAGGTATAACATTCTTACGTAGGCAATTATGAGAAAGATAAATATCAGAATATTCAAAGCCACATGATTCTTCCATAAGCCCCAAGATGAGAGATCCATGTCCTGCATTAACAAGAATTCTTCACCAAAACATCTGAAATTAAGCAGAAAATATAACTTTATTCATGGCATCTGTGAAATTTTGGTCAATTTATTTGCTTTCCTTAAAGAAACCTATGGACTAACAATATCTTTGAAATTATTCCTTCACATACAATAGCTGTCAGTAATTGAATGCAGACATGTTACTTGATACTATGCTAAGCAACTTGCATATAATATCTTAATTAATCCCTAAAATAATTCATAGAGGTATAGATATTATATTCACTTAAGAGGAGGGGAATTAGGCTTAATGGGCTCAGCCAAGTTTACAGCCACAGCCCAAGGGACTTGCTGTATCTCATTGCAGAAAAAGGAAAATCCTTATGACAGTGAACACACACTTACATTACATAGTCAGGATAGTTATTGCCATTTGTTATATTGAGTGATGGACAAAAGTTTCTTCCCAAAAACTCATTATGCTGCAAAGCCTATATAACACAAAAAGCAAGGCATGATGGTTTTAAATTTCAGAAACTTTTCGAAGAATTGTCACAATTGAATCCTCAAGTTTAGTCTTTATAGTAACTTTGATTTGTTCTTTTT